ATGTGTAGAAAGAGAAAGATAGAGGTGATGACGAATTCAGAAGGTTATAATTTGAGAAAACACAATATAAATGCACGTGTGCCATTGGGAATTTCGTTCTTTTTTGTAATTTGGGACTTTCAGATATTAAAAACATGTAGTCAGGATCACGTATTGTCCACGAGGTCTACCTGAGATGTCAGTCAATATGTCAGGCCCTGTCGCGCTACTTCTCTTCAGCATTTTGAACTGCATAAGGTGTCAGACCAATCACGCTGATTAGCCGTTCAGGATGACTGGAGATCTTGAGTTACAGAAGTAGGGCTTGAGGCAAGTTAAACTGATCCCTGAAGTGTTTCTACCCTTGATCCAATCTTCCCGTTTGGAATTGAATGATTAGTTCATCCTTTTCTGACGTGCTTACGCTAACAGATGGGTTTGTTTTACCGGTCTCTTTTATTAGGCGGAAAGTTTGACTACTGTTGACCATCGGCACTGCTTTATCCATCTCGCTTGACTTCTCTATCCACCGTTATTCGCGATCACTGTGTAGGTTACTTATCAGCTCGCGCCTGAGCTGACTTCGCTCTAGATCATAATCAGAGCCAGGTCGGATTAGCGTCAATCATTTCGGTAGATACTAATGTGATACCCGGCTTCTTCCTAGCTTTATAGTTTACCTTACTAACAGATAATGCTGCTGTTTCAACAGCCTTTTTGATATCGTTGCGAGCTACCTCCGGGTGATATTCGCTTACATGGTCGCCCCACTGTTTCCGTTGTTGTTCCTGAAATGTATGCATAGCTCTGCTATCATAAGATGGAACCCTTGAAGGTTTCATTGCGGTGCCTTTCCTTCGTCCGGTGTGTCGCAAAATGTACGCGCTTACAATAGGGCATAATCTGAATTTAAATATGTGCCTCAGAACGAGCGACAGTCATCTGCCGTACCTCTACATCGGTGGCTGATGACAATGTGATCTAGTTGAGTCCAGCATTGAAACCATTCGGGGTTCTCCAGGTGAACAAATGTTTATCCTTATGCTTACATTAGGATTTTGGTAGAAATAAGCACTTATCTGAGTGAGGTTGCAACAGACAATTGCCGTTATCTGTTATATTAGCCACGACACAATAAGATCCACCCATGTGTCTTTCCTATATACTTAGCCTACCTACTTGGGCGTTGAAGTTACCAGCCATTATGACTATATCAGAACGCTTTCGAGAAGAATAGAAACATTTCTACAAAACATATCTTTCATGTTATGTGAACCGCAGTCAGTGGAGCGTAGGCAGATATGACGAAGAGTAAAACGGCTACTGTCCCTGTCTTTCAGAGTCCTCCTTACTGTCCCGCTTAGTCGGACAGCGCACAAGCGAGTTTCTACTGGGATCCATTCTAGTAGATTAAGTTCTGCCGTAGGACTCAGTGCTATACCTGCGTCAACGAAACACCGTGAAGCAGCGTCAGGACGTACGGTGTTGCGTTTCTGTCTGGACATGGTTGGGTGAAGTGAACGATGCTCCTTGGACCCTGTATGCGCGCTTCGGAAACTCAGAATAAATTGATAGTTGAGATTCTAAAGTCCTAGCCGAGGAGTTCTGTTGTCCTACTTGAAACGATGTCTCTACATTAAAAGCTCCAACATATAGTTGAGAAAGTGGTTTAGGTCGACCAGGAATAACGTTTCAGGAAGTCGAATCGTTTGCATTAGCGGTGCGGCGTGATAAGTGAATGTAGGAAAAATTATTCGTGGAGATAAGGAGGATGTTAGGGGTGTAAGAAGGATTTGACCATGACCGATTCGGTCTCGTGCGCTGTTAGGAATACGATAGCAGCTGTCACTGCTCAGGTGAATATGCTGTGTAAGGCTGCTTCTTGAGATACCTGAAAATGGAAGTAGATTACTGTTGGTCTTACAGAAGTGGGAGCGTTATTTTAGAGCTCTGTTTGAAAGGCCTTACCGTCGGAGGCAGGAATATGTGAGTTATGGTGATGTGTAGAATTTTTAGTATCGACCTTTTCTAACCCTTCCTTCCTTGTGCGAAGGCAGCTTAGCTGCAGACGGTAGTTGTCCGAGGCTAACATCTTATTGCTATCACACCTATCTGCAGTCCAGGAAATTGCACTCTGACCTTGAGTAGCTGTTCGCCAGTTGAACGACCTGACATAGCAGAACCTACAGTAACATATGTTCCATCTAATGTAGCTCAGTGTGTTCATTCTAGTGTTGTGGGGATTGTTCTGTTTTTTTGAAATCCTGAATCGATCATTGTTCGACAACCAGTAGGAAGCTGGAGGCACTAGATAGCAATTCCACTGAAGTATGAGACTTATCATCCTAGTCTCTAGAATCAAACCTAGAAACTTCGAACTCAAGCGCAAACTCTCAACCTTCAGACTAGTTAGCTGACATCCTACGGTGGGAATGCTTAACTATAATCTTAAAATGTAAGAATCATGATTTCAATGACATTCTATTGGAATAGCTTTTATTCTGTATTGATTCGTGTGAAGTCAATACAACTTAAAGAGCTTATCATTAGTCAGACTGTACCGATGTCATTCGTTTAATATGTTATGTTGTATCAACATCTACTCAGAGTATTTCGTAAAATATTTATTCATGGCAAAGTAAACACCGACACACATTCATACCATAGTTAGCCTATCGTTTGCTGTGCATTCGCCAAGTATGTTAAACATTTCATAGTACGTTGTTGATTAATCCCTTATACTTAATAAAGCTATCAATGCAACCAACCCAGTTCATTAAAAGTAACCACACAATTCTCATAAAGAAGTAAGTTGACGTTATACAGCATTAAATTATTGTATTGCTTTAGTTACAGCTAATTCAGTTGATAGTTTGGTTTCTGAGAAATGGAAAAATCCTCATAGAAAAGTACACTCACATTTATAAACGTCAATTTATTTATTTAAGCAAAGTATTGACACAGAATACTGCCACGACACCCCAGGTGGTCCTCTAAAACTGTAATCTACACGGCAATGGAGCAGTGTCAGAACGTACAGTCTCATGGTGGCAGCACATCGCAAAGTGGATCCCCTATACTGAGCAATTCGGATAAAGTTCCAGACAATCACATGTCGTCCTTTTTAATTCGTAAATGCTAATCCCGCCAAGAGATAATAGTGAGTAGAACTTCCCAGACAATGACTATATATTTGTGGCCGTGTTAGAGAATTTATAGAGAGAATACAGACTCGACAAACTGTCGGCTATACCAAGGCACTTGTGGCAGATGGATGATTATGTTAGGGAAGAGCAATAACTTTTAATCACTATCCTATTCTCCTAAGTGATTTCGTTCTGTCAATTATATAAAATAATCAACAAACAAACTGGTGCACCTTTTTATTGCATTTTAACAGGATAAAATAAATCATTATTCAATATTCTTTCGATTCTTATCAAAACTGAAATTCATCTTACCTGATATTTTGTCAATTTATAGATATGGGACCATTGGTTGATCAGATGATAGCATATACAAACCCATCTGGTTTATTGTTTGGTATGGGAGCTAATGGTGGAGGTGTATTACTGAGTAGGAATTTCGGGAAGACATGGCTTACAGTCAACCCCTACGTATATCAAAAAACCTTGAACACGTCAACAGAAATCGTCACTGCAAATATAGTGCCATGGATTTCAGTGACAGGACCAATTGACAGTACATTGATGGAGTCATTTTGCAAGTTCCAAGTGGCTGGACAATGGAATGGTAAATAATATTCAAATATCAATAAAAACTTGCTTATACCGGATTTTTAACATTTAATATGAGTGTAAAATATCCTGATGATATTCATTATTATTGAATCTTTACAGCATATGTAATGACATGTGCTTTTGTGTTTTGCACTAGTCAACCACAGTCACATAACATGTGGTTAACATGACTTTCGTTTCAACGTGAATTACTTTATCACCACTAGATTAGTGTTGTCATTCGTTCTGTAGTAAGAGCAATTAGAAAATGATAACCGAGACCAGAATTGTAAAAATTCCTTAGAATTATTTTGTTAAATTGTAAGCATACATCGAAATATGACATTGGTATAGCCTATACAGTGGTATATTCTATGCTCGTTGATTCTAAAGTTATAACTCTGTATACAATGTTTAATAATTGGATCTGATTTGGCCGAATGAATTTGTTTTCTCAGATAAAGTCGATTATTATTGACATTATTACTGAAATAATATAAGTGAATATACAAAATATCAAAAATATTTATTACATGCATAAAACTGATCATTTGTTAGTAAAAGTGTTATGATTAAACAAGTTATTCGGCAATTTATACTCAACAAAAGTATGCTTTCAATTGATGAATCGATCAGCGTTAGATCACCAATAAAATCATGCAAGCAGAGGTTTCATCTCGTCATATGACTTGCAGCAGTGCGAACATCTAGTGACTGTCTCGGTGAGAAATTTCACCCGAGTTACGACGAAAAAACTTGAATTTCAACCCTGTTCAGTTGTACAGAAGAGCATACCGATGACAATGCACATGACTGTGGAATGTACACGTTAACATTCTGTTTTGCTGCATCTACGGTCAAGAGGTAAGGGGTTCGTGCGCAAGACTGAAAGTCCGAAGTTCCATTCTTGCGAATGGTAGGGCATGCTTGCCCAATGCTCGTGAAACTCATACTTAGACTTGATTGCCGTCCGTTGCTTCCATGTTTTTTAATAGTGGTCAAAATTTGATCAATTGATGATTTCAAAGTAAAGAAAAAGCCCTGCGAACATTTTGTGAAAAATATATCTATTGAAATACTTAACATATGATCTGAGGTTTTAATACATAAAAGAATTCACGTTCAATTTCTTATGTGAACAACTAATTGATGTTGTATACTTTTGTTATTCAATTCTTTTAGTTTGTATCAATGCAATTTATGCAAATGAATTTTTATTGGCCAATTGGACTTACACTTGTCCAAATATTAAACGTTTATTGTAAATAAAACATTTAGTTACCATGAATATCTCAATTTGTTTACAATTATTTGTAATGTTGAATTTTGCTGTATTCATTGTTGATGTTTTGATGTTTCAATGAATCGTGTAGTTAATTTTTACTCAAATTTGAAATGTTGTTGCTCATCCTATGTCTAGTCGTTATTATCTGCCTAATAAATTAAATGTTCATTGTATATCTTCACTATAGTTTACTTGGACCAAGTAACGTTTAAAATGAAAATGAAACAGACTGTGAACTCTGTCGATTTATATCTCGAATTAAACACAAAATGTGAGACGTAAGTACACTCGACCGGCGTATTCTAGATACAAAGAAACTGTAATCCAGGATGCCACAGCTAGTCCTTATACACTTTTGAGAATAATAATTGTAAACTAACGGTGATATTTAGGCCAGCGCACACGATGAGCTTAGCCGAACAGACTGATCAATTTTAGTCCTGAACATCATTAGGATGATCCAGACGACCAATACAAATGAATGAAGATTAGTTGAATTTTTAATGTGAAATAATGGGTTGAGTAATTAATCGACCAATTTTACTTGTGGTGCGTGAAAGAATCCTTATTATTCGTAGACAGAAATACTGAGATAAATTTTGTTCAGTGAATGATAAATTGAGGATGATTTGTTTCCTGAGAGGTGACCCACAAAATCCCTGATTCGGTAACCACTGGACAACTGTTTCGCCTGTAATATAAAAGACTCTGTAGAAGTATGTATTATTGAGAAAGAAAGAGAGAACGATTTTGAGGCAAGTGAATTCACATTTACGGTCTATCTGATCAGATACATTCCATTCAGATTATTTTGAAACTTTCGGTTATTACGATCGAACTGTCTTCACTAATATTGAGAAAATAGGTGTTAATAATATTGATTCGACCAATATTTATACACGGTTTGTAAAGAAACCAATAATGAAGGCCTTCATTTCGATTTGTCAATCGTCATCAATTGTGTTGAATGTTTAGACTTGATTAAGTGATCATACATTTTTTGACACTGTTTATTTCTGTCCGCTTACTTGATTGCTTAAGGCAGTTACCCAGAATAAGCATAGGTTGACAACAAGCATTCTCTAACCTACTCTGTTCTAGATCTCTCTTTCTAGTTCAGTCCAATTAAGTTCATTCTTCTCATGTGCGTTTTGTTTCTCAGTGTAATGTGCATTTTGGTTTTCCGCCTTTCTTTTGATGTTGAAATTCTCAAGTAAGCGCTTGCTTTGCGGCTACGTTGAGTGGTTTCTTCGAGTGAGCCAATTAGCGAATAGGCAAATTGATGAATGAAGTGAAATGCAGAAGGCTGAAATAGATAACCCATGAATAAGAATATATAGTCTGACAGAAATAAAGGCGGACAGGTGTTAAGCGAGATAAACATGCTTACACACGAATGATGGACAAGGTCAAAAGACAAGTGTTACGAGCCATGTGAGCTGGACATTGAATGACTCACTGCATTGTCTCTCCCACAGTAGGTTGTTGATGTTGATGTCTGTCTAACGGATGCGAAGTATTTTTCGTAGATAACTATGTTTACTGAGGGATACGTAGTCCGAATACGAAAGCGATTGGGATATCGTCCTTACATCACAAAAACTTTTCATATCAAAAGAGATCGGTTGATTCAGATTAGAATGCACATGGTGCAGAATTCAAATGACAACTTATAACACTCTGAAGAAATTATGTCATGAGTCAATTATATATGAAATATCACTCTCATGTTTGAACATCAAACAGTTCTGATCAACAGTGTGTCGTCAACGCCGATAATATGGTAATGCAAATCATTTGTTATAATGATGTAAATAGTTTATCATTTACACAACTAAGTGGCTATCTGATTGCTGTAGCTCAGGTAATAATGCAATCGACTTTGAAATAAAAAGGTTACTATGCTTGAATCCTGATTGTAGATTCAAACTTGACGTGGTGATCGAACTTGCCTATCCTTAATGACCCAGTGAAGATATTTTGGCTTGAACATTGATTCCATTGCAGTCAGGTCGATCGGAGAACGGTGAGACTAAAAGCAGCAACTGAAGTTCTGAGTAGAAAGTCGTACCGCTGCCAGAATAGGGCTGCCAAAACAATAATTTGTTTCCTTCGTACAAACAACATCTTGAACGATGCTTCTTTCCTAGAAACAAAGAAGTGATAAAATACGACTTCCTAACATGATTATTGTGTTGACATGCTAATGTGAATTACTACGCACTGCAGAGTCTATAATGACCGTCGACCATTATATGTTGTTTTTGAACGAAAACTCGAACATCAATTCTTCAAGGTATTCAATTCTGTCTGTCCGTTTCATATGTGTCAAACATCATTCAAAATGACTTAAAATTGCCAGTACCATTAAACATTTCAGATGTTCAAACGCAATTATTATCAGTTTATGCACTTCGATTTCGTGTTATAACACTCCTTAGAGGTTACTCAGACTCAAAATCTCACCCCTCAGACAACATCCTAATTTCAGACGTTAGACGAAATCCAGTGCGACCACTTTATATAGATGTGCAAAATGTTGTATTGAAAATCATTCAGATTTCTTGGTGAAAAATGTATCCTTCCAAAACTCTGGATGTGAATTAACTGAGTGTTCCACTGAAAAGCACGTTCAAAACGTGATTTGAAACACTTTTAGTTAACTTTGACAGATCGCACCTAACTCGTCAAATAATGGTTTGATCCCTTATCCCCAAGAACTTATATTTCACGCATGATTATTGACGCGAAATCTGATGCTAATAAATATTTTCTCTAATCCAACTAATTGAAAGTCTTGCAGGTTCTTTCAATTTATGTGCTACAAATAATTATTAGACAATTCAGATGTTTATTCGGTTTCTCAAACTTCGAATCAGATCACCAGAAATAACAGATAAGTGCCTCAAAATACTCTGCAGTATCCAGCTTTTAATCACATTTGACTGTGAAAATGATGTACTACACTATAACACGCTGAATAATCGTGATATTTACAAATCTGTAAAATTTATGGAACTAGATTGATGGCCTAGTTAATTGGGAATTTTTCGCGGTTTGTGGTTAGGAAAAGACATGATTACAATTAGCTGATCTTGTATTTGAATAAAGAAGCCAAATCTGACTGATCAATCGTTCAAAACTTATAAATTGAGTGAAGATAACGAATCAGTGGAGAATCACTTCAAATGTTTTCCATGTTCTTCATATTGTTCATCTTCATAGATACACTGGGTTATTCTTAGATTTTCCAAGTATTTCTGACATACCTTTACTTGATAAATTCAAAAGAATTTTATTCTAATTGAGCTTCTCAGTAATATATGTGCCTCAGGCATTGGTGTTATTATAGAACTAAATACTCGTAAGTAAGCTATCTTCATAATTGTATAAATTTTCATCATTCTGCAGTTACTCTGATTTATGCCTAAGAATAATCTTGAAAGCCTCGCAGGCAATCTCGAAAATGCCGCTTGAAGGATGTGAAACTGTGATTTAAAATAATGTTCAGTTTCGCACGCAAAGCACAGGACGAAATCATGACAACGTGAAGATAGACCGTTTCTGCATTGGATGATTAAATTGTGTACAGTTTATGTGCGTTGGTAAGATTTAACAGAAAAAAGGATAGATTGATCTTTAAAATTTCTTCGGATCATACGAGCCCTGCAGTCTCAACAGCTGTATTTTATGAGAAAGCAACAAAACAGGTTTAATAATAATATGCTCTTGATCCATGATTTCATGACTCATAGTTATCATAATTGACTTTGTTATCCACATCTACTCTGTTGTATGTCAACATGATAATCCAAGTTGAATTTTGTTCCTCAACTTGTAGTTTTGAATTTGTTAACTGTGCAAGTTCAAATGTTCCAATGCAGACAGACTATAGCGGATTGTTGTCCTCTACGATTTTCTAGTCTTCACTCAACTGTCATGAAATTTAAATATCAGATGAATATATTTGACGAGAATAAGATTGTAAAGGCAAACGACATTCTTCAGTATACTTTCACATGTTGACTATGATCGACGAGTTATAGCCACTACGAAAATGCGGAATGTGAGTACGTTTGAAAACCTAAACTTTATTATCCTGATATCTGACTACACTTATGACGGCTAATTGAATTCAAGTGAGCCAATTCCATTCTATTAGACATGTGGTATTCGTAACAGCTATGCTGATGTACAAATTGTGTCCGCGTTTGTTTTCGAAGGTTTTCTACTCAGATACCCTGGTATGCAGACAAATCAATATAACAATATTATTTGTCAAATAATGACAAGACTATCGTACATGTGAGCAGAAATTCTTTGATTTTTTTCACATGCAGGTAAAATTGCAGTGGCAGCCTGAGTAGAACTCGGTTTTCTCATATTGGCTTTCAAATGATGAACTATACATATATCACATTTCCGGTTTAAAGTAATTCATGTCAATATGAATTGCTGTGATAAAAGTTTACATTGACTGTTAATTTGTTTGAAATTTCATTATTTTTTCTTGCCTCTTATAAGGCATATTAAGTTTCCTGTTTCCGACATCACACAAACGAGGTTAGCCTGAATGTGATACACGGTAATTAAACGGAAGTTTTATTTCATTCACATCATTATTCTGTCGTTAAAAATGGAGTCAGAGAGCAGGTCTTTAAGTCTTTTCACAGAATATCAATCTATCCAGCAGATCAAAGCATAGTTACGTGTTTTTTGACTTACTCTTCCACTGTCACTCATTCTATCCCTTTATATCACAAAACTCACCAAGAGTCTTGCACTCACTCTCTTCTCAGGCGAACATTCAGGAAAGTACACATGCAAACCACACACATACACAAACAATAAATTTCAGTATATTACGCATAATAAAAAGTTAATAGTCTGTAAATATTTTGTCAAAGACTGATCAGTTAATGAGAATGCTCGGTACACAAATAAATCAAATGCACAGTGTAATAATATGAAATAACTGAA